GAAATAGTGCATGCAAGTTGCAAACGTGAGCTTAACAACCACAGATAAGGAGACCATACGAGGAAATTATTAGATGAAAGTAGTTTAGGTAGATCAATACTAAATGCTTCGCTGAATCCTTAAGAATATATTGGATTTTTTCCAAAAGATTTAAATACAATTGCCTGAATCACTTCAGGTGGTCGATAATCAAATGATCATCCGCCTTATATAATGAGAGGTACGGTTTAGATAATTAATTAGAGCGTCAGACATCACTAGTTTTTTGAATCCGCTAAAATAGGGTCTGTGACTGCACAGTTAGCGGGATATAGCCATCAGATACGAGTAAGTATAAATTTCTAAATACAGATTGTAGTGATACATTTAGTTTGTGCTTGTTAATTTCATAATTAGTGAGGCCCACAAGTAAGTTCTTACTTGACACACTCGGGGTACATTACTACCGATGTTCTCTAACCAATATAGAGTGTTTCATAGACGAGTTTCTCTCGACTTTAGATCGTCAAGACTTTAAAATATTCAGAATCCTCTGTGTGGCATGTGCACAAAATGTCATTAAAAAAGGCTTCACTGTCACGTGCTGTTAAGTTGACGGGGGTAAAGCTCACTCAAAAAGATTTCTCATAAACAAGGACATGTAAGTGAATAAGACCGCTATCGAACATTTGCAACAGGACTATTTTAATTTAAAATTCAGAGTTTGAAAGCATGATGTTCCGCCTATCAAATAAACTCCTTAAGACCCTTCTCGGACGTTTGCAATAATATGTATAAAAATCCCTCTATACAAACGCTTTATTAATGTGAATGCTTGTTCTGACTTGAAATGTGAAGTTATTTCTCTAGGTCCTCTAATCTGAGAATCCTACAGATCTTTCGATTCTAGATGAGACGGGTCCAACTTTCTTTATTTGTTTTTTTACTATTCAACTAAATTTCCACGATTGTCACGAACTACATATACGTTGTCTTACTTGATACTTTGGTTATGATAGCTGTCATATTGATTCATTCCTCTTTTAAAGAGTGTATTTTTTCAAATGACTCGAATTGTGTATTTTTCGATTGTGAGGCGAAGCACACTATCAGAACTTGAAACGCTCATTATTGTGACAAGTTCTCATTTTGCTCATGTTCTTTTACTTGATTTGTGATGCTAACCACGCATAAAAGAAAGTCAAACCTGAAACTGGTTGACGTTAATGGATCGGAATTAGACGATAACTTCCCTTTCACAAGGCAAATGCTTTTTAACTTCTTTGTGTGCCATTATTCAGATCCAAATCAGGTCAACCATACTGATAGTGACACTAGTTGTGATTTGATGACAAATGTGATAGAAGATTCTGGTCTACACAGAAATCAGATGCCTGAAGTCCTAGAGCGAAGTGTGACACAGACAGAATGGTATACGAGATGAACCTCATGTAGAACTAGAGTGGACGAGTGTTTTTTTTATCGAAAATAGTCATTTGAACGGTTAAAGAGCGGCGTATATGAATGCTTGAGTCATTTAAAAAAGAGGATTAATGAATACAAGAAAGGCTATTTGTCACTGATTGTGATAGGTCTAGAACTCCCTAGGGTAAAAGTGAGTTACGTTGATGAATAGACAACAGGGTAATGTAATATTCGTGACAAATTGAGATGTGCGTATTGCCGAGGGTCGTCGATTATAATCAGCGTTTGTCGTATGTACTACACTATTGCAGAGGTAAGGAGAAAGCAACTAACAAGGGGTGCGATATGATGAGCTATATCCTAGGTATAGCGAAGCCAGATAAATTTTGAAACTAGTATTTACATAGTCAAATGTAATTGCTTGAGAAACACTAGTGAGCTTATTTAATGGTGTGGACTCTGACTATAATGCTAATGAAGAGCTAGCAAATTTGGGTGTAAGGATGGAAAATCGCCTTATTTATTTTGAATAAATTGATAATTCTGTGGTTCGAAAATTCCTAGTGACATTAGAATGAACCGTTAGGTTAGTGCCACGGTCGTTGCAAGTACATTGGGCAGACTTACTTAATGAACTGACGGTAAGCGACAAAGATTCGACCTTTCAGCGCTCACTAGGTCTATATCGTCTCGTCGCTAGTACAAGGTTTCAACATCTAGGAACCCGTTATGAAAGGGAATATAGAACGAAGAGGAACTGCCATTTGCAATCTTGGCATGGGTAATCTGACATTATAAAAAGGGTGCCATATGTGCTCTAATGATCACACCATTTATCAGTGCTCACATTTTTGACGCTGACATTGAGAGACTGGTGGTCGGAAGCGAAAGTCAAATGTACTTGCATGGCCAGTCTTCCACAATGACATAGAGCCAATGAATCCGGGTTAAAAACGCGTTGTTAAAGACTGCTCACAGACAAATCATTATCTGTTGCGTAGCAAACCAGAGATCAACAGAATGAAGGTCGAACCAATCATGAGTAGTTATTGAGGATTTGTTGAGTTTCCATGATACCATTTGTACTTGGGATGAAAATCGAGACGTGGAAGTCGTATCTTATGCTTTCTTGAACACTGATAATTTTGGACTAATTAAAATTGTTCGGGTTAAAGAAAGATGAAATATCAGTAGTAATCAAGATGGTAGAAAATACCACTGTAAGTAACTCGCTCCCCTTGTGACTGATATGGACTCGCTGATCTTTGTGAAACAATGACTAATAGACGAATAAATGGAAACAGTTATGACAGGGCTTGGAATTTGACGTGAAGATAATTTACCCATTCTGGATAAATTGGATTTTGACACTGTTTGATGTCAGTCCACAACAGAAGTCATAGCTCTAATTCCTAAGCCTAACTCATAACTTTTAATCCTAATTCCGATTTCTCACAGCATTATATAATCCCCATTATATCGTAGTAAGTAGGTTAGTTTTATCGAGGTTGCTTTAGCGTCCATCAAAGTTCGTTAGTAAGTTAAAGTGTCACCTGAACCTCCTACCAACACCGGAAGACATTCGGCTTCCACTGTCATATTTGAGTATCATCTTTCTTAAAAGTCATAAAATGCTGTAATACGATCATAATGGCCAATTTAACAACCATGACCACAATAAATTTAAACCAATGTGTGATGGGTCCAGCTGCTTCAATCAATTGCTTTCATCCTACTTGCTTCAATTCCAACATCCACACATCCACTCGCAAAACTAGGGCTTGTAGGAAATCACTAAACTCACGTGCTTGTTAGAATGGCCGAAAGTAACGTCGCGATTTTAAGTCTTCAAGTTTTTATTCTTATGTAGCATATATTCACTTGTTATCTACCATTCTTTTCCCAACTGATTGATCACTGGGTGGTGGTCAATGTTAAGCTTGTCTAGTCCTTATTAGTGCAGGTCGAATGCTATCGATCATCTTGCAATGTGGCCACCAGTCTAGGTGACTCGACACTGAGAGCACTATGTATTGAGATTTAGATGGTAGTTGGAGGTAGTCAACAGGAAACCCTGGACCCGGGTTTCGTGCTACTTGGCACTCGTCAACAAGGTGTACCTGTAATCTTGAGGGAACCGATACTCCCTGGCGGATTCGATCTCGTGTCACCCAGCTTCACAGTCAGAGACGTTACCACTGAGCTATCCGAGCCGTGACTGACCTCCTGTAGGACTGAGATGTAATCACATTTGATTGATCACTGGGTGGTGATCAATGTCATGCTTGTCTAGTCCTTATTAGTGCAGATCGAGGTTAGTCACGGCTCGGATAGCACAGTAATAACGTCTCTGACTGTGAAGCTGGGTGACACGAGATCGAATCCGCCAGGGAGCACCAGGTCCCTCAAGATTACAGGTACACCTTGCTGACGAGTGCCAAGTAGCACGAAACCCGGGTCCAGGGTTTCTTGTTGACTACCTCCAACTACCATCTAAACCATTCTTTTCCTTCAGAACAAACACCTTTTGTATTTTTTCACTGAATTCTTTTGCGTTTTACCCTTAAGTCCATTGAGTAATATGGAAAGTACTTATGCTATAGCAACAAAGACGGCCGTTGAAGTTCATAATTCAAAGGTAAATAATGAGTCGGACACCATAGTTTGAAACAGTGGAATTATAACAGGGCTCGTGATGACACCAGGAAAAGAATTTCAGATTATTAAGTACCACACGGATGACCTGACCCAAACACCAAAACTGAGTTTCCAACTAAGCAAAAAGGATCACATTCTTACCTATGTTCTTACTCCTAGTAATATCAGTAAGAAAATAACAAATAGAAAACTGAATCCTAATCTGCCTGTTGCACAACTTTCTGGGAGGAGACAACACAAAAAAAGAAAATTGCGTCTCATGCTCATCGCATGTTGAAACCAGCTACGCAGTGCTGGGATGAAGTTTCTGTAGATTCTGGTTTCACTGTAGCTATGCAGAAGTATGAGTTCACATTAGATCATTTCTGACCGTGATTCTGATACGTATACTATTGTACTAATTCTCAACAGTTTGTCCAACTTGTATAGCCCAAGTACAAACAAACAAGCGACCATGGAAGTCACAATCCAAACGTATTTATTTATGCAATCGTAGACTGTCGCAGATTTATCAATCGATGTTAACGGCAAGGAGCAGTGTGTGGATGTCAGAAAGGTAAATTGAAGTAGTATAGCCTCCAAAAACTGGAAGTCGTGTTTGAAGACTTCGAGTAATAAGAAACGAGCGCAGACAAATCAATAGATTTGTCCAAACTCTCCTCAATGATATAATATATTTTGCCTCAAAAATGTGGGTTGGGGCAACAAGAACGTTTTAAATCCATTCCGTGACCGTTATATTTATTAACTTTTTGTTACTCAAGATCTAAAACTAAAATAAAATGAGTTACATTCACATATCCAACAATAAAATTCAGCTTCTTAGAAACTGAGCGTCACAGAAAACTAAATTCTTTACTTCATTCAGTTAGTGTTCGAAATTTTATTTTTGTTTTACCGTATAACTAAAACATATCTATGTTATTGTAAATATACGGATGAATGACCTGTCCCTGCGCACACGTGGTTACTTCAAGTACTTAACGAACTGTTCGGCAAATAAGGTATCGTTTACCTGTAAATGTATAAAATTCTTTCGTGTAATCATATAGTTCTCGAATTTCCCCCAACAATAACATAATGCATAAATTAGTTTAGTAATTGTTTATGACTATAGGTACTTTGTAGCGATATGTTTCCATATAAGTTCATATTTAGCAGTTAATTTACGTGGATTCGTTTAAAAATGTCATTCTGTAGATTTATTTCCCTACTTTTCATCGGCTCGTTTAGTGGCTAGTAGAAATAGAGGATGACGAAAATGCGCAACATATCCACTTCTGGAAAGTAAAATTAAACACGTGCAAAGATATGAGATATATGATAAAAACATGTAAAGTGACATGATCAGCTTCAGCTACAGTGGATTACAAGGAAAAAGTTCGGTTTTATGGTCGAGAAACACAGTAACTACCGAGTAGGTAAAAGACTGTAGTGGTTGAATTTCCTCTTGATTACGCGGTAGTTTTCCGTATCCATTGTTCTTGAAAAGATAAGATTTCTTGAAATTATTCTTGCTGACTGGTAATACTATCCTAACATTGGCCGAGTGTTAGGGTGGAAACTACCTTTGGCTTAAAAATTTTATTGATTGATTGGACTGATACGTTTAATTGGACAGTTACATTTAGTTAGAAGCTAACTAAGTTGAGAATCTATGCACATCTTATCGGCAAATTAAGAGCGATTTTCAGCCAACATATCAAATTACTAGTTGTACAGTAAACACTAATCATTGGACTGTGTCAAAACTATGAAGGGGGATATGACAATCCACTACCTCTACTGATTTATAAAAAAAACTGAATGTCCGTTTGCTTTGGTATACAGAAGGCAAAGAGATGACTGATTACAGGTATGTTAATACACAAAGATAATTTTTATGAATTACTTTTTCAGAAAATGTCTGTATGTGTGCTAAGTACTTAGCCTATAAGCGTTATAGCGGATAGTATTTACGACTAACTGTCTCAGATATTACTCTGTAAATTGTCTTACTTTTAACATTTGTTTGCTTATTGTTATGGAGTCGTTTTTTATTGTTCGGATGAAATATACAATTTTGCCGGTACAAATCCCATATATCTACAAGGCGTTCTAAACTGTGCGCGGGAAATAGTCATATTTAGCTTCAGCTGATAAGAACAAAAAGCCAAGGAATTTGTGTCGATTTTGGTGATAGAGTCTCTGCAATAGACTCATTTTCCTTTTATGCATTTTTGTGGAAGGGATTATTGGAGCTCTCGGTTTCGTTCTTGCTTGAAAAACGTCTTGCATCTAACATATACTTCCGGATTTATAAATAATACATGCTCGTCTACATATATTGGTTATTTCAAAGACGAAGCCTCGAGATATTTGAGATCTAACGTTTTGATGAAATATTTCAAAATTCATCACTAAATCGCTTAAAATATGATTATACCGATGAGATTAGCCTAGTATCAGTCTAGAGGTTATGAATTTCCGCAATAAATTTTGCTTTAATTTTATAAGCCTGTCCCAAATCTTCAAATTTCTTGGCAATATTTCTTGTCCAGTAACAAGTTGTGCACCGTATAACAATTATCGACTATTGCTTTGCGTGCTTGAAAGACTTCTTTGCAGTCTTTGGACGAGGATTTATATATACTGTCCCTATTTGTCTAATTTGGCTGTTAATTTACTTCGCTCCTTGGAATTGTAACTGTCAAATGAGACTTTAGGTTTTGTTTATTTTTAAGGTATCACGTTTAGGTGTGTCTTCGCAGTCGCTTCTCGTTTTATAAGTTTTGGAACAGTTGGCAAACGGACATTTTTATTCGTTCAGAATTGCAATTATTGTTTGATTTAAGGCGTAATCGTTACCGAAATGCTTGTTCAATTCTTCTGTGGCTGCAAACATTCTGTAGAAAGTTTCGTACACTGATTAGTACATTTGATTTTCTCAATTATCTTTGATATGAATTTATTATATCGTCTAAGTTGTATTTCGGACGGGTGTTCCAACCAGATCGGAAGAATTTGATCGGCACGTCTAGTTGTAACTTCATCAGTCAGCTTTTAGTATGTGCTTCATTGATATTATTTAAATTGTTTATTCGGCACTAAACAATTTCTTCCATTTTTATCATCTGACCTTCGGCTTACAACACGTCACATATCCAATCATTATGCATCACCTTAATCGTTAAGTTCTACAATTGTGGCTTTTCTGTTGGGGTTCGCCCCATATCGTTTATACCGAGGATCGTTATTATTGCGGTATTTAATTATATTCCTAACTCTTTTTGAGTAATTTTTATCAGCACCATGTATTTCATTTCATGCGTCAGAACGGAAAATATTACTGATTCTATCAACTTGATTTCGACATTGGGCAGATTTTAGAGGTAAAAAAGTAGTGCATTCGTTATGTTAGCTTGGACCGAGCCACATAAACCACCATGACTGATTATGGAACCAAAGTATTGGAATGGGTTCACTTCAACATCTCGACTATCGATCAATATCATTTTGCTTTCGTTTTTTGTTATTATTATTTTAATTTCTTGAGCGGATATGTCCATACCAATATTTCTATGGAAGCCTTGGAGTTTGTTTGGGATTTTGATTCTTTTTTGTTTGGGTCGTGATATTGATGTTTCTTTGTTTGAGCCTAAAATAGTACATACTGACTCTAGGCCTTAAACATGTGTTTATTCGTTCACTTACGTTTTTAGTTTTGCTACCATTTAGTAATTTTATCAGAAGACAACGGCTTTTGTTTGTAACGTTTGTTTGAGTTACCTTAGGTTTTGAGTTAATTTGGTTTTTATCATGCTTTTTAAAAATGATACAGTTGGTTTTTTCCTAAACACGAACCCTGTCTTCTGATAATACTTTCTTGATTAAGCTCGACAACTGTTTTAGTTAAAAGATTTTCATAATATCGTCACTGAGTTTGTATTCTGTCTCATGTCTCATAAAAGAAGTGTTTCTTGATCATGTGTTGGCTTTGATTACCCCGTAGGTTTTTAAAAATTTTACACTGTGACTGTGTTAGCTTATGCAACGTCTGTAATGGTTTTGTCGAAGATAAAATGCAGCCAAAGTTGAAAACAGGTTTATAATTCTTGGCTACATCAAAAATATGTCGTTGCCTCTGTCGTCAAACTATGTTTGTCTCAACGGCACGTATGACAAATCTATTTGCACAATTTTGTGGGCTGTACTTGTGAAATTTGTACAAATATTGTGCATCACTATTTACGAATCACTGAAAACTACTCTCAATATTTTCAGTTACGTTTTCAGTCAAAGTTTAATGGTTTTATGATAAGGTAAAACCCACTACAATAATTTCTAAGTCAAACAAAAGCTCACGAAGAAAAAAATACAAGAATTTAGTAGTATTTAATGATTATATGACAGAAACATGAATGATAACTTCAAATGGGACCGTTTCAAAATTTCACCTTTGATTTATATTTATCACAATATAGTAGTTTCGCTAAATGAATAGGTGCCAACAATTTTCGACGTATAGTAAACACGAGTAGCAGAATGTGACATTTTTAGTCTACAATTAAGTGAAAATAACATGACGTTCTTTCGAAAATAAAAACGCAATTTCTTAAAAGTCCTTGAATAATTGAGATCATTAGACAAGACTTACATTATTTTTTCACTTAAAAACACCAACGATTTGTAATGGTAGTGGTTACGTTTAAAGCAACAAGAGTTATTTAGTGTCTTTAAGGTTTATAAACGTCGATAATTTTTTAATTTTATACCATTCACATATATCTACCAAGTAAAAGCTTTACTGTGAAAAATGTTTACAGAAAGAATGGAACCGAGCAGTGCTTGTTTTACACAGAGACCCGAAAAATACCGTTATCATGGCTGATTTACAGGATACGGAATATGAGACATTAGACCTACCTGATACAAAAATAATCATTCCATTAAATTTTTTCAAAGTTTGTCGAAAACATATTGTTTCTGGTCACGCATCAATATGTAATGAGAATGGTCATCCTAACCAGAAGCATTCTTTGAACACTGTTAAAAATGCCATTCCATGTAACCAAATTCATCTAAGTTCACGATTTTTATTTGGTAAAAAGCAGTTGTGGCTGGGTTTTACATCTCTGTTTGACCAAGATATATGGTATTCATCTTTGAAAACTTTGGTTACAAAGCACAGAAACAAGAAGAATACTTTAAATGGTCCCGATTTACTACGAGCATCTGCATTAAGTTTATCCCAAACATCGGAGTTGGATTTACTTGCTTCAGCCCTGCCAAATATCTTAGATAATGAAATATATGAAAGTACTTCTGCTCAAGGTAAATGACATGTTTTCAATTCCCTTATATTTTACGAAGACCCGCTTAGCTTCAAAATGAGCGAGGGGCTATTTTGCAGTAACTAGTCAGGCGTCTGTTTGTTCTTTAGTTTATAACCTATTACAGGCTTTCAATTAGGAAGAAATGCATTTTATTATGGTCAAATGTGTAAAGTCACAGATAGATTTGAGCGTACTTTTAAGTGAACCATCATTTTCAATTAGCAAAACACAACCCATTGTGTTTATTGACTTAGTTTGTAAAATAGCATCCATCTGGTCACAAGCTGATTAGTTATCAGTAACGTACATCGTATAAGATCTGAAGATACTTAATTTTAAAAAATGTCAGCAATGTTTAAGTCGTAATGTCCTAAAACCATAGGCAAATCCTTTCCCCTGTAATGAAGATTTTCTTTTTTGTTTGATGATAAATAATACAAGTTTTTGATCATATATGTTGGGTTAATAAGTGTCTTCAATATGTTTCTACAATGCAGTTTCGTTTCATTTTAGATCCCTGCATCAGTTGGTAGCAAGTTTTGGATTGAAGAAAGTGTTTTTTTGTATAATGTTAGGTTAAATATACCCGCTTTCAGGGGATACCTTGCTCTGGCCTTCTTTAAAATTAAAAGTAATGAGCATCTTGAATAATTTTCGGCAAATTCGAAAGTTCAAAAATAATTGTAAAATGAAGTTTTATTAATGCAAGACGCAATGGCAAAAATCATTTTCTAAAAAAGCGTATCACTTAGTTTTTATAAACATTTCATTTAACAGCACTGAACTATGTATTTCATACTTTTCTGTACTGACAAAGTAAATGAACTCATTTTCGTGTAACCTAAGAACACACATGAACCGGTGGCTTGTTTATTTAATTTTTCTAACTAGGCATAAGATGTTCTTTAAATTCTTACTACCGTTAAACAGTGATTACAATATGTGAAAATATCTTCAATGAAGTGATTACTTCAATATGACTCAATGTATAACAACGGAGTCTCTTAAAATTAAGTCAATATTCAGTAGTATATTTCTGCGAAATCATTTTAGTTATGCTTTAAGTTCGGATAACAAGAGTTCGTGATGAAAAATATCTGTTTTCTAAATGATAATGAATGAATGATATGTAGGATTTATCTTTTTCAATATATTTCTTTGTATTATTAAAATCACTAATGGCTTTAGCGAACTGATTTTTAAGATATCAGACATGTGATACAATGAGGAATTTTATTTTGTTAACTAACGTTTAAAAAAATTAAGGTTTCAGATGTAAATCGTGTATTTCCACTTGTGAATATCTCTAGTGTTCAAAAGATGTTTAGAATGAATTAGTGTGCGAAAAGTCAACCGTTAAACACATCGGATCCAGAGGGTGGTAGGATTGATTAATGGCTATAGTGAACTAAAAGGCTTAATCATAATTCATACGTGAATTATTTCTGATTATTTCTTGTTCATCTATCTGTAACACCAGATACTGAAATGTGGAGTGGAACTTAGCCAATGATGAGTCTATAAAAGATGCAAAGAATTTGGATTTCATTACAATTTTAAAATGTGAAGCATAGAGCGGTTTTCTCATGGCAATAAATAATGTATTACTCAACCAGCTAATTTTGAAAATAGTGAATTCAAAAATATCCAGGAGACGTTTACAGTTAAAAATAGTAATAATATTTGATTGTTTATTATGAATTCATTTGTATTTTTATTTTACACTGGCTTTTAGATACATTTTCTGTCTACATAATTCATACAGAAAAATCAAAAGATTTAGGGTTGTCTGGTCGTTACTTACTACGTATAAAAGAAAATGCATTTGAACTACTTGATCCGGACACATATTCAATAGTAAAAGTATGGCCGGTCAAATATGCGCGCAAGTAAGTTCATAAAAATTCACGAGTACGAAAATTATGCACGTATATCATTTATTTGGAAAGTATATCACGTATGTTTCTATATGAAGAAAGTTATTGGACTATCATATGCTAATTTAGAATCCCTCAGCAACGTACAACTTCTGTATGTCACTTAACTTTGAATCATTGATTTCCTACACTAGTTCTCAATCATCATTGATGATAAACAGGAAAGTGGTTTACATTACAAGTCAGCATCGATTTTCTGCCATTTCATTTTATAGAGATTTATAAAAACGTACATTTGTAAGTTTGATGTAATAAGTACGAAACACTTACACAATGACAAATTTAGTTAATCCTAAATTTCGAACGAATTTCTCAACCTATGAATGGTTTTCAGATACTCTGATGGCTCTAATAGACACTTGAAGTAGCTGAATTAAGTTATGGTGATTCGAGTTAGGTACGAAACGTCCTGAATATTACGTTTCAAAGACAAGTCACACACTTCTAAGTAGTTAGATCTGTAATGAATCATTTATATGGTACTAACAACGCCAATCTGACATTCAATTTTGTCGTATTGGCGTGAATTTTAATTATTATCATTTGCCTATAGCAGTTTAGTGTTTGAAATAACTTTGGTAGCTTAACATCTCATAATCCAGAGATATTATTTCTTCCAGTATAAAATGTCGAGTGAATTATTAAAAAGGTTCCAGATTATCTACATGAAAACTATTTGTTAATGAAGCAATTATTTTTACTATTTTTCGTATAAGTAACTGACTGTGGATTTGGTCTTTTTTCAAATGTCAATTCAGAACTATGACTTTGAATAAAGCTAATACTATTATTGCAGAATGTTTTTATTTGTACGAAATTAAGTCCTTGTTCAGAATAAATATCTCATCAATTTTATGCATTATATCATGTATTTTATAATCCTGATCAAACGGTAAATACCGTAGATTTTTTACTTTTATCCACCGCCAAATGGTCTTCTGGTGATTGTTGTTTAGTTGCAAGAACCTTAAATGGCGTATTATTTATCAAATATGAAAAAAAATTAACAGATATAAAACTATGGTTAGTAATTTTTTCACTTGATATTATATTTACAATTTACGCATTTATTTAAGATGCTGTTGATGAACAATGTCATTAGTATCTCCACACACAGAAAACTTTTCTGTTCATGGAGAATGAAGATGGTGGATCAAATGTGAAAAGACAATTTACCTGACTCCAAAGAAAATACGTTTGCCCGTTCTAGATCAAGGCTAGTTAAACTACATACACTACCATTCGGAAATGTTTTCTAGGTTTTAAAGGACAGGTTTAAAATAATAAAACAGCCAAAAACGTAAATATTTCAAAAACTACATTATGAATAACAAACAACTTAAAGTTATGCGTATTATTTAAGATAAACTCACGTAATGGATCCTCTCCAACAGCACAATGTTTAATAAATATATATATATATATATATATATATATATATTTCCTTAAAAACTGGTAAACACAAACCTCTGAGTGATGGGGTTTGTAAAGTTGCGTGAGGAATTTTCCAATTAATAAAAGACTTACTCACTTACTTACTCCTGTTACACCTCGTGATGAAGCAGAGGTTGCCCACCAGTGTTCTACATCCAACTCTGTCCTAAGTAATCTTTCAAGTTGGTTCCAGATGTCATTCATTCATTTAGGTTCTGCCTCCAATTCCCGACCCAATGTGTTCTCTGATCTGTTTCTTCCCCTTTTGAATTCAAGATTCCATGTTAGGGCTTGTCTAGTGATGCAGCTTGTTGATTTCCACAGTGTACACCCTATCCACCTCAGATGTCTTTTCACAATTCCCTCTTCAATTGGAAGTTGGTTTGTTCCCTGTCATAGCAGTTTGTTGTCGACGCTGTTTGGTGGATGGATATCGAGTATCTTGCATAAAAGACTGTTCATAAATACCTGTACCTTTCCTATGATGATTGTGGTAGTTCTTCAAGTTTCAACTCCGTACAGTAGAACTGTCTTGATGTTTGTATTGAAGATTGTGACTTTGATATTGGTTGACAGTTGTTATGAGTTCCATATGTGGTTCAACTGTAGGAATGTTGTCCATGTTTTTTCAATCCTTGCATTTATGTTTGCATCAGATGTTCCTCGATGATAGTGACCAGGTACGTAAAAGTTTCCATCTCTCTCAGAGCTTCTGCATCAAGTCGATTGGGTTGGTGTTCTCTGTGTTGTATTTAAAGATATTGCTATTCCTCTTGTGTATGTGGAGGCCTACTGCTGCAGAGGCTGCTACTATACTAGTTGTCTTGACCTAAACTTGTTGATGTGTATGGGATAGAAGGTCCAAGTCATATACGAAGTACGAAAAATAAGACTGGTGTAAATAGAGATTTATTAACTACGAAAACACGACGACGACCCTAGTCGAAAATACACGCACCTATAAATTGATTGTACACCCATTTCGATTATTAACTAGAATAAAATGACATATATGAAAAATACCTAGAGTTATAACAAATAACATGATGTATGTCATGCTGAGCATAGTTCATATTAATTTAATAAAAGAATATCGTATGTTATACCGAATAAAATATTACACTGAGAAACAAAACCAACACAACACTGAGTAATTATCATATTGAATTAAAATGCAAATAATTCTGAACAAAAATCACAATGAGTAAAAGATTGTAATTTTACCTTTTCATCTCGTCATACCACTCTCACGTTTTCGATTGACCTTCTGAATTTTTTATGGATGCAAATATGATCAATCTGGTTCTCTGTAGTATGATCCAGTGAGACCCATGTAGCTTTGTGTATGCGTTTGTAGGGGAATATTGTGCCACCTGCAACCACTTTGTAGAATTCACATAAATTTGCAAACCTATCACCATTCTCATTCCTTTCTCTCAGTCAGTCGATGTCGTCCCATGATATCTTCGTATCCATTGTTATCCTTTCCCACTTTGAAGTTTTGGTCTCCCATGAGAATTGTCAGGTCCTTTCAGTGAAAGAGTTAATTAACAATTATTACGTTCTTAATTCAGTGTTCCTGGTATATGTTTATCATTCTGATTAGCTGGTTACTCATCAGTGAAGTAAATTTATCTACGGTTAGTAAGAAATTGCTGAAATGAAGTAATTCCATGCTGTCATCCTTACGTTATTTTACTCGTAGCACACGAGTTCACTGTAAAAAGTAGAGGGTACACAATTGAACCTCTTACGATAATTAATTGAATCTACAAACTACTGAACATTCCATCCATTCAACTTCTCATTCAGCGGTCGGAGTTCCTCTCAGAATTAGCATATTAGAAATAAGATTTTTAACCTCCGAAGTAAAATACAAGTTGACGCATCTTAAGTCTAACCAGACTAAATATATAAAATCCTATTAAAGGACAGATAGATTGAAATACCTTACTTGAAATCTCATAAATAAGTTGAAAGTGATGTATATATAATGTTCATGAAATGGTTCACCAAAAACTCTTTTTTTGTACCGTTAGGTACATTTAAACCAATCATTTTGCCATTCATTTATTTTCATTTTATGTTTAAGTGCAATGGTTTTCGATTAGCCTTTTCACTCATTTATATTATATTCAAGAACAGAATTTAGCTAGTCGTAGTTCAAATTAAAAAAATGATCATTTTCATTTTATTGTCTTGAGTTTATCATTTTATTTTTCATTTTGGGTAAACTGAAGTAATATTACTTCGAATAAATTTCAAAATCTAACCTCAAGTTATGTGAATTTCTTTAGCTGAGAGAATAAGCCATTTACATGAACAAAGAATACATATTATCATAATAGTTTTATTTGTTCCTATATGAAGGACGAAACAGCCGTTCAGCGCTTCCAGGTTTTCCATGATCGTCTAACTTCAATTGACTCATAATCTCAACTATTGAAACTACTATAATATCCACAAAACCCCTTTCTAGTATTAATCGACATATGCTCACTAGTGACTAGCTTCAAGAGGTATTTCCTGGAGTTCTAGTGAGAAGCAGTGACCAGTGGAGTTCTACCTGTTCTGTTGTGAGTTTGTTACACTGAAGACAACTGTAGATGTGTCTCTCAATTTCGTGGATTAGTTGAAGTTAGACATTAACACCGTTGGATACCGGCTCAGTGGTCTAGTGATTAAGTGTCCGCGCGCGAGACCGATAGGTCTTGGGTTCGAGTCGCGCGAGGCGGGATCGCAGATGCGCACTGCTGAGGAGTCCCACAGTAAGACGAAACGACCATCTAGTGCTTACATGTTTTCCACGGTGTCCTAACTTCAATTGACTCATGATCTCAACTACTAAAATTACTATATAAATGTTGCTAACACCTATGGTGTTTGAATTATGTTAAATCGACAGCAGTTGCTTATCACTAAAGTGTTCTTCATTTTTTTATTAACCCTAATTATGTACACCCTTCTGCTCTGCAGCTCGCCAAATAATTATCTTTAGACCTATTTATATAATTATCCTTTTTATTTTATGTGAGTCATTATTTATATCTGTCTACCATTTGAAAACACACGTAAATAATAATGAAGCTTTTATTGATCGATCTGGCCCTATTATGTAACATAAATTAACTGTTTTGTACACAGATATGTAATTGGGTATGTCGACGTTAGTGTGTCACTTTCTTCATACATAATTAGAGAGTCACTTACATGTAACTGAAATATTTATACAATGTACACATACAAAATTATCTATAAATCTATTCATTCCTTCTATATTCTGCTCATGATTTTTTCTCGTAATATGTTTCATATTGAAATAACCATTGATAGAATGAAAACTATTGGTAGCAACATAATTCAAAGTAAGGTAATGTTTTATACAAACATAGATCGTATCTAATAACAGAATTAGGAATTTAAATTTAATCTTGTTTAATTTGTCATTTGGGTTTACCTCCGTCTTTGCGAAGTGTTATTTTTCAAGGGATTAAAGCTCATTCTTTTTAAGAGTTTGAACTCTAGTGTTTGGACTGACTAGTTATCAACATGGACTAGAATACAATATATGTAGTTGGAGAAAACCAAAATTTAGAATATATAGTTATCATTTTCGGGAGATTGTTTGATAATGCTACCTGATAAATTTGACTTTAGTACACATACTTAGTAGCAAGATGGCTTTGATGAACTAACTTTATTTTCTAATATGAAAGCAAATAAATCTAATATAAATAATATAAACAACTTCTGTCAATGTGGTAGGGTGGTTTAATGAAATGTTGTTTGTAACGTATTGTTTAAATAACTAACACGGTATCACCTTGGCATTTATTTCTAGTGGCCATATCTTTGGTCCATATCTCCCATGTTTTGTCGAAAATTTGAAATGCAGGAAGACTTTGTTAAGTGCTTTAGACAACTGTTCACATGACTTACAATGTTCTCAAAATAAGAATCTCATCAATTTTTCTTGTGTAGTTTCATTCTACTCATCGAAAATTGTGGTTTGTTTGAATCTTGCAACAAGTATGGCAACGAGAACTGATAGTTTTAGAATATTGAAAGTTAAATCGTTTACTTATCACGAAACTGAGATTATCTAAATTTAACAATGGAATCACTCAGCTTCGTTATTTTATATATTTGAGGCCATGCTTTTAATCGTACTGCTTTCCAAACTAAGATTCTCTAAGATAACTTTGTAAGAAAACTTGTCAAATGTCTGAAAAAATGAGAATATTTCATAAAATATTCTTTGTTAAAGGGCCAGTTGAAATTTTTAAGATTGTATTGAAGATGCAAGTTTGTTCGTGGAAATCGCAGGAAATCATCCAACAATAGTACTGAAATCTGTTACATTGCATTGCTGTTTTAGAATAAATTATGTATTAATAATATTGTAACTATACAATCTTTCTCATTTTATTGTTATAAGTACTCTGAGGAGTCACTATCTGGTTAATAAAAAATCCCAGTTTCTAGGCAGAAATTCTGAAACGATTATTGTTTCACTGTGATAAATAAAATAATTGTAAAATGAGCTTTTAACAACCTCTTGTTTAATATATTTTGGATTGTTAGCTGCATGCTTTTGAACTTAATTACAAGCAGTTTAACTTTCATGTCGTATGAAAAAAGTTGTATAACACTGGTAAATAAAGAATGATATTACATTTCATAATGTGTCTCACAAAGTAGATTATTACATCCGGTTTGATCGTTGTAAAGCTATGACTTTCCGAGTACCAAACAGTACGTTTTTATCATACATCTGTTCATTCTAAAATTAATGCACCCCTGTAAAGTTGTTAGTGATGAGGAAATTTTGAAATATAGGTAAAATTCAAAACACCTATAAGAGTTAGTCATATCTGTTTAAAAATTAGTGCACTACTATTAATGCTAAGCGACTGGGAGGTTTAGCTTTATCTTTACAATCTTTACACGCTTGGCGTTGTATATAAAGAGTAGATCATAGAAGATATATATATATATATATATATATATATATGTCTTCATTATTATTCACATCAGTATGTCACTTGTATTGCTCAGTTATTCGTGAAATTAACTGTTTGATTTAAAAGTTAACTATGTAATGTATATAGAAGAAGAATATTTTAAATATATTTGATTGACCCAACCATACCAAATGCCTGTCTGTCTTTCTTATTTGTGAGTCATTAAAAAAACTAGTTTGAGAGATTCTTCTTTCATTATTCACTTTTTTAGAACTTGAAAGTTTATTTTTACCTATACATTTTCGTGCCTTCGTTGCAAGCTTCATCACAACCATCATCTGTTAACTGTCATAAAAAATAAATGTAAATGAATCCAAACAGGAATGGATGATGGCTATCACTGTAAACTGGGACGTGTGTCCCGTCTTATTTGAGACTCATTAGCTCGATATACATGCATCCTAGAGTTCATAATTACTTCAGAATTAAAAATGTAAATGTGTATTAGAGCTCAGTTTATATTCTTCCACTTCACTTCAATCAATCTATAATATATTTTGGTACTAGAGAGTGCTTAGATTGTAAATCCATGTCAAATTAAGTTTGAACATGTAGTTTTTTTATTCCTTTTATTAGCTATGAACTTCCAGAACAATAGTAATAGTAGATCAATGTAAATTGTTAAAATCCTGGTAACCATCAGTGTATCAAGTCTAGGATTTTAAAATACTTTTAATAGGTTCAAAGATTGAATATCGTTAAAATAGTTTTTTAAAACTCCTCATTTGTAACTGAAAAACCCATCGACACTAGCTTAAGCGTAGTTATGAAGATTTCACGTTCAAAGTTTTCAACCTATTACATTCCCATCCTCGATATACTGCTCTAATTTTACCAGCAAAATTATTAATGCAACTTTGGTTTAATATTTATTGTGGCAGTCAACATATACGAAAATTATTACCAGTAACTGACCACTCATATTGATCCAAATATTAAAGGCATTAGTCACTAATTTCCTTGTGTTTATTCTCCACTAGAAATCATCCACACAAAGGTAACCATAAAATGCCATTTATGCATTATTTACCATTTAGTGATATAGAATTGTTAAAAAAGGAAAATTCTCATTATTAGTGCAGCTGAATTAGCTAGTCTATTTACACATGTTTAAACATAATTCTAGTTAGCTATTTAAAATGTAACATAATACTTTCTATTTCGAAATACCATTTAAACAGATATTTTACTGTAATTTTATGTGCTGACCTATCCATATTGCATCTCTCTGTGATGAATTAAAAAAGCATTTATTACAAGTGTTGATATTCCTTCTATAGGCAATATGACTAATTAAAAGTAAACTCTAACAATCAAATTTGTGTTTAATATTCACAGAGTTTTAGTTTTAAATTTTACGACAGTTCAACCTTTCTTAAAGTAGAAAGTAAAACTTATATTTGATCTTAATTTCTTATAAAAACATTCTGAATTTATGTAGATTCGGTGTGTATACCAAACGTTTTTATTTAATAACTGGAAGTGGATGTGAAGATGGTCGCGGATTGTTCATCTTTCTAATAGAGCATGCTGATAAATTTCAATCAAGACTATTTCGTCAAATGAAACAATTAACTATGCAGTCTCAGTTATCTAGACGTGTTACCGACTCTAGCAAATGGATAATAGATCAAGAGATTAAAAAGGAATTTAGTGAATTTCACTTAAATGAAACAAATCATTGTTGGTTTTCGTCAGAGCCTAGAAAAAAGAAAAATATTCTAACGTCTCTCAACTCAACTGATCCGTTGTTGAAAACTAAACCACGTTCCAACTCTGTTAATGAATTTCTATTACAAAATATAGAATCAAATAATTTACATCAAAGGCAAAATTCTTCAAATATGTTACCAAAAGAAATCTCTGTCTCATTAGCTTATGATAGCGATGCAAAATCTTCATCATCATCATGGATATTTCCAGAGGAAAACTTCATAATAACGTCTGGTAAATGTTTTGCTGAACGTTCATGTCAAACTATATTTGAAGTAAATACAGCAGAGCAGTTAAAACATTCTAGTAATGTTAATTCACCACGAGTAACTGTAGTAAAACAACAAATACAAGAAAAAAACATGATTCATAATGATTATAGTTCTCAAGAAACATTCATTTCAGAAACACTGTGTGAACGTGAAGATGATAATGTTTTTCTAGAAAAAGAAGAGGAAGAAGATAATTTAAGCGAAGCTTCACAACCCGTTTATGCTAATGCTGAACAAATCACCAATACGATGTTCAACACAAAATATTCCAATAATCATAATCAAAAATTACTAACAAATAGTGGAAGCAATGAGGATGAAACAACAGTGACATCATGGTATGTCTAACGTATTCTGGTATAAATTTGTTTTTCATCGTTAGATTTTAGCTGATCAAAAAAACTGTTATAGCTATTGATTTCACTGTACTGTCTACTTTAGAAGTCAGCTGTCATTATTACAAAATTTCCCTGAGACTATAACCAAGAATCTTTGTTCAGGAAATTACCATCTAGTTTACGCGCATCAAGTGGAGATAAATTTTAAGTACGGAGATATAAATGATGTCACAAAGTAATTTTAGTTTCAAAAATACTCATTTAAGAAAAAAACTGAAAGTGAGATTTTATTGGTATACGTTGATGAACACGAACGTCACCAAAGATCCACTGCTTTTAGAATATAAAATACAGTCTAAGAGACTTTTAATAACAATCAGGATTATTCACCATAGAATCAATAGTTGTAATAAATATGTCAAAAAACTAGCAAAATCATTACTTTTGAAGTGAAGTCAAATTATAGATTTTGTCGTAAATATTATTTATTTGAAAACATTTATATAGTAATAAATTGCTATTCTAGAGTATGTTAAAATCCACACTTTGCGTGTTATGAGTTTGTGTAATGGTAAACTCGGTTTAACAATTGGATTGAGATTGATCGTGAACAAAACAGTTTTTTGTTTTGTTTGTTTATTATACAAGACCCATGAAAACATTCATAATCCCTCAAAAATGAATGAACACATTAGTAAAGCTGAATGATTAAACCGTCCAAATCAACAGAACTAAACAGAATTGGACTATACACTTGATTTTAGTTTTTCCATTACAAAGATTTCATTTTTTGTATATATTATAGCTGTACTGATCCAGTAATTTTTGACAAAGTATTTCAATCCTCAACATGGCATTCTTTATTTTCAAAACGAAATACTTTTTATTTTCCTGATAGTCATCTTGAGTCAGACACCCAGATATCTATATTATTAAAAGGGCTACTTACACTTTATTATGGCCAAAAAATGAGTATTAACAGTATCTTCGCTAGCTTTCTTTAGTCCGTTGTCATGGTTTTTTCTACCTATCATTACCAATATACAAAATGTTTTTGAACCCTATGATTTTATTCACTGTCAACTTTTTAATGGTTAGCATTTACTTGTAATATTATGTGAAATCGAATAAACTATTTTATGCAAATTAGACTAGTAATAAATTGCACGAATAAATCTTAAAACATAAAGTGAATATTGATTAGGGTATTCACAAGTGGAAAAAATCTAGTCGTATTTTTACTTTGTAATTTGAGCCTTTTGTTTAACTTCAGTAGTTAAAAGGGGGGACTGATTTATTTAGAATGGTTGATTGAAGCTTACGTTCTATCTTCATATTGCACACTTATAGAAACGTACAACTAAATCCCTATATTAACTAAATGTATTGGTTATTTATGCATTTTGTAGTTAATTATTTATTCATTCGTTTCTTTCCATTATTCTTAGTATTTAGTCACTGACGATGATTCAGTATCTAAGTTTTAGTAAATACTGGAACACAGATGATTTAGTTTTATTCACAAAATATTACTCTTAAGTTGATAGTTTGACTGATATTGTTTGCTAGTGACACTTTTGTTGTTCATTTGACCAGTACAACATCAAATTAGTTCAGCTTTGATAGTATTGAATACTCTTGCCGTTTAATGTCTCTACTAGTTTTTAACCAACAGACTTAAAAGATTGCAACAGCACAAATGGAAACATTAGTTATAAGTAATGAAATTCAGTGATACCTAAGACTAAAACCCCTAACACAAATTTGAAACTTGTCATGCTTATTTTGATTTCAGTACGGACTATTTATCAGTGGTTTATTTCGGCAGATTCATTAATCGTAATGAAAATTACTACTTAGTTTCTGAGAGATACTTACCTTTCTATCAAATTAATGTCAGCTAAAGGCTGGAAACAAATTTCCTGTCTTTTTACTTTAATGGTAACTATGTAGTTCTATTGTGACCGATAGGTTGTTAGACAGTGGTGTTGCAATGATTCAGAAATCAGTAAAGATCATGGAGTACATCTGCTCCTCCGTTTTTCAATAGGCTAAAGTAAAAAATAATGTTCTACTGAATTTTATTTGAAAATATGTGTGGAAAGTTTAGTACAGTACTTATCGTAGTAACTTAGTAGTCACAATGTGATTTTCATGTTAATATCATGATCTTTAATACTTTTGAGGGTATAATTTATTTTATTTTTAGTGTTGAATATTCATCGTTTGCACATACTATAAGTCTACAAGGTTATTATTTATTTATTTATTTAGAACAACAAATGAATAAAGTTGAATGGTTTCATAAATTTAATAATGGTGTGGGGATAAATGGTTAGAGTTTGGTTTTAAAAATGGCAGGTTTAATTATTCAAGTCCGAGAAATGAGGAAAATTAGTGTTTAAGTTCTTTTAAATAAAATTATTCGGCTTTTATGAATGTAATTGAGTCGCGCAGACTATAGACCTCTGCTATGATCTGACTGATTAATTTAAAAATCTTTTGTGGTCTACAAATTTAGATCGGTGTTCCTCGCATCTCTGCTGCTTATTTATAATGAATCGCTGATCAGTACAGTTGATTTATAGCTTCACAAGTTATGTAACAGTATGTTGTTAGTTACTGACACTTTTATATCGCCAATTCCACTTGATGATGGTAATGACTACAAACAAAAATCAGATTGAAATGGTTACAGAGAAGTTTGAAATTACAATAAAGTGTTTGAAATATCCAACGTATCAGTAACTTTCGAAAACAGTTTGAAATGATCTATACACTATGCAGGTGATTTTATTTATGTTTCTAGTCGTTCTAAATATGATTCCCAAATTTTTATTAACTTCTCAATCCTGTTGAAAAAGTCTTTAGCCATGGAAATCTATGTAGTTCAGCAAAGACACTTAGTAGTGCAACGCCTAGGATTTTAACTAAAAACTATGTGTAAACAATAGTTTAGGTGTAAATGCACAACTTTTAATCGAATATGGTTTCAAATTAGACTTATTTAAATGTGTCGGCTGGTCAGTGAACTTAGATTTCTTAAGATTTTTTTTAACATTTACAGGAACTTTTCTAGGCTAAAAAAAACTTTTCTTTCCCAAATTGGTCGACGCTTAAATATTTAAAATTTGATGCGAAATAGAATAAGTCCCGGCATCATACATTCAGAATACTTCTTTATCCAAATACATCGTTTTTATAAATTGAAAGGTTGTCATCAAAATTCATGACTTAATAGAATGGGTTCTACGCCACCTTTGGATGCTTACTAATATATTTTTTGCTCTGTAATATTTGGTAAACGCAAACATTACAAATCTACTTTGCTTTCTATACATTTGAGATTTTTTTACAATCAGCGACGTATTATTATAGACTGTGTCCTTTTCTTTGGTTCACTTTTTCATTTTTATCAAGTTATTGAATGAGAGGATACTTGAGAAACAGATATTGGAGAACTTCAGAAATTGGTTGAAATTATCATAATGAACAATCTATTTAATTTCAGGTTATCATAGAAAATTCATTTTTAGATATATGAGAATGCTCTCCAATTTTACCATACTTATAAACTTTGAATTACATTATTTAAACAGAACGTTTGTTTCAACATGTGTCATACGAGTAAACTAAACTTAAAAATAAAGCTGTTCATTGATTTGTAGTTAATGATGTGAAAATAATTCAATTAAGAATGCTTTATGAATTTGTTGTCCGAGGTTCAGTAGAGAAATCAATGAATATATGAAGTGGCCGTGCAAATTAGTAATTTGTCATTCACAAATTCGTGTGGGTTAGTTGTTGGCCAAAAATAATACTTGAGTATTTCGAATCAATAATTTAGACATTTCGTTATGCACCATTAATGATATCTCTAGGAGCTATAGGAAGTTTAACAAGTTTATAAAAACTCAGCAGTATTTAAGCCTATGTTGGTAATCAAATTGAAGGTAAATCTAACCTCTGGATTGTGTCTAATTCTCAATATGTATCAGGTGAAGAGGATGATAATCAAAGAGCAGGCTTGCAGATTCCTTTTAAAAGTTGAATTTTTAGAATAAAAATAGTGAATGTGAGATAGAAAAGAGGAATATTTATATCTGACTGAATAATAAAACAGAATATGAAAATTCGAATTCTATCACAAGCTAATGAGTTATAGATCACAACAACAGGGCTAGGAAAAACGTGATTGGTAAAATATTTATATAGAGAACTGAACAATCTTTTCTAGTGAGCAAACAAACCTCATATAAATAAGATCGAGCACAAAAACGGGTTAAAGGAAATGTGGTGAAAGACATAAGAACTACACTAAGAAATAATTTAGTCATATAAAATAAGGTTTCGAGCAGAACTATTGACTAATCAACATTTACTTAACTGTAAGACAAAATAGAGTTGAAAATACTATAATCCAATTTATTAAAATTACATTAAGTGAGATACTTACTTTACTTACGCCTGTTACTCCTAATGGAACATAGGCCGCAGACCAGCATTCTGCAACCCACTCTGTCCTGGGATTTCTTTTCTAGTTCCATCCAATTCTTGTTCATTTTTCTAATGTCTATCTCCATTTCTCGGCGTAATGTGTTCTTTGGTCTTCCTCTTTTCCTTTGGCCTTGAGGATTCCATGTGAGGGCTTGTCTTGTGACGCAGTTCGGTGCTTTCCTCAGTGTGTGTCCTATCCACTTCCAGCGCTTCTTCCTGATTTCCTCCTCCACTGAGATCTGGTTTGTTCTCTCCCACAGTTGGTTGTTACTATTAGTGTCCGGCCAATGGATCCGAAGTATTTTACGTAGACAACTGTTAATAAACACCTGTATTTTCTGGATGATGGCATGAATAACACCACCCACAGTAAAAAGTAATCATCGTTTACATTTAACGATAATATGGCTAACTTAATGAAACGTTTTTTGAAATTTCAGCGTAAAACAAGATTTTGTATTTGCTGTAGATGATTATTTACTTATTCGAAACTCTAATATTAACTGATACATTTTGAATGTTTTCAAAGTATAATTATTAAAAACAGCATCTTACAGCTAATCTAAGATGCGTAAAAAGAACAAAATGATACAAAACATCTTACAGTCATACAAGGTTTCAGAAGAAAATTAGGCTTATTTAATTTTCTGAAATGGCAAGAAACACCCTTTCAGATTAACTTAACTCAGTAAATTTAATATATTCTACATCAAGTTATTAAAACTAGGCGGAATTTTAACAATTGTTGATTGTTGCGTTCTATTTCTTATTTTACGTATAGATAAAACATTCTTATCCATTTAATTTACATTTATATAAAACTTTATTTCCTTCTTTATTTCTACACTTGTTTAAAGCTCAATGAATGTGAACTCACCAGTGTCAGCAATAAGCGATACACCATCTCTGTTAACGTCGTCATCATCTACTTTAATAAATAAACCAATTAATACTTCGTGTTCATATACAAAAAATTGGAAACTTGGTTACTTAATTGAACCAATAATGGAAAGAGAAGAACAAAACTCACATAACTCATCTATATCCGTTGGTAATGAAGAATGTAATACAGCTTATAAAGAAGAATGTGATGGTTTAGTCACTTCATCAACACCAGATAATGATATAGATATAAAAAAGATTAGCAATACTTATCTTAGTAAATCACCGGCTGATGAATTAGAAAATACAGACGACGAAAACGATTCGGTTTGTGAAAATGTTCAGTTAACAAAAGAATTTCAAAACATTTTAGAAGACGTAAAATTTTATCGATTGGTTTCAAGATCAGCTACTTGGGATGGATGGATGAAATTGAAGACAAATACAAAACAAGAAGTTACGTCACAGAAAGTTATTGTACAAACAGATAACAACATTGAAAATGACAATATTACTGCAATTATTACTAATACTAACGATCATCACGACAGCCCTAAAATGAAAGATAATTCACATGTTGTTGTGATGACAGCATTTTGAATTGAATAACGGTGGTGTAATTGGTAATGAGTAAACTAACAGTTATTTTCTTATTAATTTTACCCATCAACTATATGTTGTTCATTATAAAAACATACTTATGAAATGGAAGATTTTTCATTCCATTGTAGGTACTCTCATGTGATTAACAGTTGTATACAAAACGAAAATATTTTCCTGGGAATTCATTAGTGTATGGTTTGATTTATATCAATTTTTATTTAAAAACACCTAAATTTTGTTGCGCACAAGATTATGAAATTAATGATAAATTCAATGAAAGCTTGTTAATATGATTAGGATTTATTAAATGCAAAGTTATAATGATCAAAATCAAGTTATAATACATATTTCATAACATTTTTATAACAGAATATGAAATGAGACTCTAGATTCAATGTAATATCTTCAATCGTGATCATTTTTTTGTCAATCAGAATTAATTCAGTGCTTTCTATGGAGTATAATGCTTTTCCATTTTATCTTGTTTTGATTCCGTAGACAACTAGTATTAGGTTCTGTTTTTTATCTTTCCAAATAACTTCGTTCAGTTAATAACTTTTAGATAAAGCAGTTTTTAAATTCCAGATATACCAATTGTTAAAATATGAAAAATAGATAGTTATGTGGTAGTGTAACTACACTAAGAAATAGGGTAAAACTGGAAGTTATGAATCAAAGATAAACAAAGGCATCATGGAAAGTTTTAAATTGTGTGTAGGGAAGAAAGGAAAATACAGGCGACATATATATCTACGTCACTGTATTTCTTTTATCTAGAGTTCAGAAGTAAAGAAATCAAATATGAACAAGTTATTTTCTATTTTTTGAAGTTCAGAATTTATGACAAAATTTCAAACCCGATGTGGATTTTAAATTAAAATACCTCCCTTAAATGTAGATTCCACTTCACTTATCATCATAAAATGTGACGATTTTGGTCAGTTGTTTCACAAGCAGAACATAGCCGTTTCCTATTCAGTTAATTACATAGTACCTATTTTCTACTTCTTTGTATTATTATTATCTTGGAAAACAGATTTTGAATATTTTAAGTCAATCATATGTGAACAATCCTTTTCATCATATGATTGTCTTATGTATTTTCTAATTTACGTTTAAGAAGCTTATAGGTAGTCAGAAAATCCTTTCAACCCCCAGTTTAACATGTAGTTCAATTCTGGACCATATAAACTGACTGAAGCACAGTTGAAACTTGACGAGAAGGCAAATTTCACTGCTAAATCAGTATGGAGCATGTCATTGAATCTACCTCGCATTGGTTATGTTATTTCATCTGAAAACGAACTGTTTGTTGGATTTGTAAATTTTAAATAAGGGATTTCATTTCACGAAGTTCTAATTATGACACTAATAATCACACAATAGAGATTTTTATTCTTTAGGAGTTTATTCTGACTGTGATAGAAGATTCTTCTCAAGATAATGGAAACATAAAATATCACAAAATGATATTCTTAATAAGGCTTTTGTTATTTGTATTTTTGACTAAATATTGATTAACAAAGTATCCATTCATTAGTAGTAAACGAGTATTCAGCCCGTAGGAGCATGAGGGATGTCTCTGAGATAAAAGAAAACACTGTCCAATTTCTATTCAGTCACCCGAATTTGTATTTTAAACATAAAAATTTTATCTTGATACTAAAACAATATTTACTAACCCTAACAAAACAGAGTTCAAGTTTAATTGAAAAGTGAGTATCGAACTAATATTTGGCTAATAAAAAACATTTCATATCGAAGTAGATAGGAAAGCCACTAGAGACCTGCTGTTTGAACTTGGACTCAACGTTATTCCTGCTTCGAGTATTGCAAATAAAATGACAGGTGGATGATAAAATATTTCATATAGAAAAACATAAGTACAGTGTTCAAGGTTTTCAAAGCTTTGGAAATCTAACTACAGTCATACACCTCGCTATGAACTTTTAATTTATATTTTTAACTACTTGCTAGTAACATGTCACATTGGTTAGAATTTCCAGCTCGATTTAAAGATAATGGGTAAAAGTTTTTTAAACATCTTGATATTACTTTTAAAGATACGAATTTATTCTAAGTAAAAACTTAGTGAATTAACTGCCAACATTCTGTTCACGCAAATGTTTTGATGTTCCGTTTATGTGTTCTAATACATCATAGTCATAAATAACATTCACTCCAACGCAATATAGATGTATCTAAATATAAGTTTAAAGCAAATTTTGCTAAATACTGAAATATATAGTAAGTAGTAATTTTTTTATGAAATAAAATCAGAGGTTTCAACATAATTCATATTGAGATATTTCATTAGATTTCAAAATCACTGGTTTTTGTGTACGTTAGCTAATATTGCAGAAATGTAATCTGATTACGACAGATAAGTACTCGTTAATAAACAGATGAAATAATTTTTGAAAAAATTCAGTTAATACCAGCCATCTAATAGTTTCATTATATTTTAGTTTTATTCACACATTTGAAATAAAGTACTTCGTAAGAATATTGACAGTAAAGAAATTATTTCGAACCTTTTGTTTCTACTTATCACTTTTCAAACAGTTTAAACAATTAAAGATTGAAAAGTTGACAGTCTTTTACTAACAATAACTATGTCTTTTTATATTTTTTAAACCAAAGGAGAAAGATTCAACATTCAAAAAAGATGAGGTTCAGGTACTTAATATCTCACATATATATGTGGTAGAACTATATTCACAAATTATTTATAGGGTTTCCCTAAGGATATAATGAGAAAAGTGTGGTCCCATTTAGCTAAAGAAAATAAAAATGCTTTTGAATGACCGTTTAAAAAAAATTAACGATCGCCACTGTCTTAAATAATTTAGTACATTACCTGAAGTATTTCCGCCTGAATCTCTGTCCCAAACGTACCAACAATACTACACTATTTGTTTTTTTACTGATATATTTAACCGTACCAATTTGTAAATTAAATAAGGCTCTCTTCGATACCTTTATCTGGACTGAAGTGTACGTTTTCTCAGAAATGTTATGTTTTGTGGTATCTAACGATATTTTCAAATGACAATAGATTAAGATTTTAGTCTTTTACGAGACTATATCAACGCAAGGTAGATAAATCAAATAACCGATACACTGCATTACTTCAAAGTTAATCATTTACCCACAAATAAAAGAGACAGAATACTGTAAATTCAGGAAATCTTTGATATTTTCTACGGAAGGCGAAATGTAATACAATCGTTCTATTTATATAGCATTAACAGAAAACTTAGAGATACGTAAAAAAAATGAAGAAGTTGGGAGGAAACAACTAATCAGATAGTTGCAAAGTTAGAAGATAATTAACTAACATATTGACGAAATTACACAATAAAATTCCTGTTTCATAACCGTATAATTTGCTCCATATATGACCAGTATGTTTCAGGGGTAACTCAAAATAACCAATCACACTGATATATTTTCGAAATGGAAAAATTCATTTTATCATTAAATAAAACATGGGTTACAAAATTTTATGAGTGAAGCCTAAAGGTCGTGAATAAAATCAATTATATAACAACGTACTACTTGCGAGTAGAGTACTTTAAATATCTATAAATTGCTAGGTCGATCGTATATTTCATTGGACAGAAAGTGTTATTTCAAACAGAAAAATAGTACTAAAAATGCTATTCAATAACTGAACTTTTCGGAAAAATTTAAATATCGGGAATTAGTCATTTGGTTATCAGCGATTAATGAAGTTCAGGAAACTCTCGAAAAATTTAGCTACATTTTGATTACCTAATTAGTAAGACCAAGAAAAACCATTGGTTCTTAAGTTTTAAGACTAATAGACTTTTAAAAGGAGATAAATGTTTAGAAGTATTACTTGAGGTTTCGAGATTTTTGTGGATGTTTATTAATTTGTCTTTTCACATAAAATTCTGGTAGATTCCTAAAAGAATCGACAAGATACATGAAGATTTTCCAAAATCGTCTCCTTGAATTTACTGGAAACGAAAGATCACTATGATTCACATGTGTTTTCCTAAATGGTCTCTGACGGCTTACCGTTCTAAAACTCAAAATAATTTGACGCATGAGTTCAACCATTAAAATAATTCCGTCTGTTGAGAAATAACTAGATAGCCCCTTTATGATAGTTTAAGTCGTATATTTTAATATGAATTCACTTTCTAATGACCTAAAATACCCTAATATGTACAGATTCCCTGAAATTGGGCTAAATCGTTGTCATGGTTCTCTATTTCTTGTTCAGTTCGTCTGATTTATTGTTGTAACAGTTAGTCGTGAATGAACATTCACTGACTGATAGTTAATCTCAAACTCATTTTTGTACAATTCACTTGGTATTGTTTTACTTGAATCTTCCCATTGTAAATTATGGCAATATCGAGGCATACGCACAGTATGCACATATGCCAATAAGAGACTGATCAATTTCAGTCCAAAAACATCAATGGGAAGATTCAAGTAAAACAATATCAAGTGAATTAAACTTCAACCCATTGCACAAGCAAGTGGCTATCACGACTCAGTAGCTAATTGGATAACGCGATGGCGTTTGAAGCGAACGGTACTGAGCTCGAGTCCCAGAGTGAACATCAACTCTGAGATGCAGGTACATCCAGCTGACGAGTCCCAAACAGGACGGAACGCGCGTCCTGGATTCCACTGCTAGCCACTGTCCATCTTTGCTTATCATTTTTGTACAGTTTATTTTTCCGTTTTGAAATATATACAGAAAGTGTGTTCTTCAAAACACTGAATTTGAAAAGTTATTCCTATTTTTGGCTATTCTATTCTGAAAAATATTGATCAGAAAGGTAATAAAGAATATTTATGAAGGAATACATTATCAAAATGAACTTTTAAGTTAAGAAATTCTTCATTAGGTAAACCAATATACAGTGAAGTCGTAGTCATGAAAAATTTTGATAAAGAAGTAATTATCAAGGTTATTCAGACTTGATGACTTACTTATTCTACTTCGATAGTCGTCAACAAGGTATTTGAAAAACATATATCCAAGATGTCTTATCGAAATGGCTACCTGTTCAATTGGATAAATAATCTATCATTTATTTACTGTGTCACAAATATATGCAAAGTATTAGCCATGAGAATGAGTATTTGAAAGTTTAATAAACACTTATAAGAGGGAAATATGAAATTTAATCGGAAACCTTTCGTTTAACTTTTGAATTGGAAACTTTACATTCAAATCCGAATGTGTCATTTGCTTGAGATCTTGTCAGGGGCATCAAGAAAAGCAATAGTTAAGTCCTACTAATGTTACTAAAGAGCATTAAAATCAGCTAGAAAATACACAATTCAACCAGTAATTCTAGTAAAATAGAAATAAATGATCGTACTGTTG